CTGGAGTTGTTTGCGTCGCAAGGCTAGCCATTCTACTTTAATTTTAGACTAGGGCATTATGACCGGACAAGGAGACTATCTTAGTCCTTTTTATAATGACATTTTCATTTTCTTATTGCTATTATATCAGCCTACCGAGGCAACCAACAACAGATGGGAGACCATTTTATAGGAGACCTGGGCTAGGGCTAGGCCATTCTAAGGCCGCTGTGTTTATTCCCCAGCCCGTGGGCCATCTCCGGCCCGCCAAAGATTTGGTCGGGCCCGCGCAACATTGCTAAAAATAAAATTATTTTCGGTCAAGTTTTAGAAAACTTTTTTCTGTTTATAGAAACACCACTTAGGTACCACTACTCTAGCATTGTTTTCAAGAAAGAGTGTGGCTTTTTCTGAGTGTAGCTCACTGTATCTACATAGTTACCAACCGTCTCTCATCGTACGGGCATGGTCCCGCATTTCAAGCGATATTTATTGAAACACGCATTTTGCAGAAACACATGTGTGATCATAAATTTCTCACGCATTTAGCACAGGTCTATGTGTGATAAAAAAGAGTATATAACAGAAGAGAGTCTTAATACACACGAGTCAGAGGGACGCCCGATCCGCTGTTTGGGGAAAACGCCCCTAGCGTCTGTTAAGGATGCATTAAAGATCTTATAAACACTCAAGATAGCGAATTCCGCGATTTACGCGTAACAAATAGAAGCATCGGTCAAGGTTCAAAAGTTTCCAATTTAGCAAGAGGGCGCCATTCATGCGCTATTATACCAAAAGATAAAGTAATCAGTTTTGGAATAGGGCGTCCTATCTGTTGACATGGATCTGAGATGGTTCCTGTTCTGCTGTTTACAGGATTGATACCCAAGGTAAAGTCGCGCAGTGTCATAGAGCTATTAAACAACTAGAGTGCTGACAAGATGGCGCAGCAATGCAGAGTTATGTATGTGTACCATCCAAGATGGCCGTCGTAGTAAAGCGCCACCTTCAGACTTACATATTATTACATATTAATAAGCCCTCTGACTGACTATTATTTCATTAATGATAATGAGTAATGGTAATAACAAATTATTAAACTATTGTAGCCAAAACGAGGCCAGGTGAAGCATCTTATTCAAAAATAAAGTACCAAGGAATGAAAATTAAAATCGTATACATTACACCCAAACACCGCAACGCTCGAGTTTCAAACATACAGGTAACTAGCTGTACTGAACTTTCTGAGTATTTGCAAACGATGGCGCTTAGCGAAATTTGATTGGCTAAATCTATGGTAGCCACCTTGGATAGCACACACACACAGTTCTGCGTATTTCGAACATCGAATACATTGCGGTTAGCGCTCTAGTATTCTTATTATACCTCTATGCGCGGTGTACGGTATGGTCAGAGCGGTCAAGGGTCAAAAGTTTCCAATTTAGCAAGAGGGCGCCATTCATGCCTTATTACAGAATTTGCACGCGTAAATCGCGGAGAACGCTATCTTGTGTTTATAAGATCTTTGGGATGCATGAGTTGCGCCGAATGATGGCAGCATATAAATACAGAAATTTAAGACCTGTATTTGAAAAAGAGTGCATAAAGTCAAATTATTATATCCGTTTTTCAACGAAATATAAAGGCAAGACTTTTTAAAAATAACATTATTGGAAAATATGCTATGTATTGTGGGCTTTTGGAAAATTTACTTTGAATCACAATAGTACTTCGAATTTGATAAAAGAAAAAGGATGATGGGAGTATAATCATCCATCCATGCATTGGTATTCGATATATGTAATTCCTATTAATTGAGAACATATAGTTAATGATGTGTTTGTTTTGACTATGACTATGTTCCCAGCCCTTCCTCAGTCCGGTATGTAAATATAACGTTTTCTCTTCAGTCAAACAAATTAATGTATAAAACAGTAGTCAAAAAATAGTCGGAAACACCAAAGTAACTTTCAAAGTATTGTACTTTGTTTAGTATTTTTCCACACGAACTTCAAATACTTTCACAAGCAAATGAGAGTTAGGTAATGATGAGGAAACATCCATCTTGATATACCTTAAAATCCCGGATTTATGATGATAAATGAGAAAAAAAAATCATCCATCCATGGACCTGTTAATAAGATCCATCCAACTGTTAGTGACCCAGGCACTGTCTGTGATAACGGTATTAGCACCCACATTATAATCAGGGGCAGATCCAGGATTTGAAAGAGGGTGGTTGAAAATGGAAAATTTATGAATCCTAGGCCGGAAATGAGCTTTCCCGACTTCTAGAGTTTTTTTAATGACCTTTAAGTTCTTAGAAATACAAGGTTTTTTTCCTCTTGAAAAGATCAGCAATTTTATCTCATTCTTCATGCCTCTATATAAAGGGGGAAAAAATCAAATTTTCCCGCACGATTAAAAATCGTGACGGTACTGGGTTTGGTCTACAGGAGTTCGTGCTTCGAACGTCATTCCATTCATAGAAAAAGCCTTTTGATGGAGAAAGTGTAACTTTTTAGCAAGGTTTGCCTAGTTTGAAAATTGATTAGCATATTGAAACAGTTATTTTTATTTATCATATCAACGTAAATTTACTTTTAGAGTTTATATTTCATTAATGAAAATTGTTTAGATATTTATTTGAAAAATATATTATATGAAATAATGTAATTGTTAAAGTTTAATAATATTTGATATTTGAATAAAGCAATAAGATTGAATTATGTTAAATAAAGACACAATGTATACTCAGGCTTATGTACTAGAGTCCAGTTAAAATATGTAAATAATACTCGAAATCATATAATAAATATTATGCGTAAATATGTAATTAGTATATTAAATTAAATTTAACGAAAAAACGGAAGAAACATAGGAAGGTAGAAAGAAGAAAAGAAAAGAAATTTGAAGCGGCTCAAAATATTTACCGAAAATAAACAATAATAATAATTTTGTCATTATTTTGTGAAAATTTGTTAACACTAATCGTCAAAAGTCAAGGTGCCGGGAGCCTACATGTTTTATACTCGACATTGTGTTCGATGTCGAATAGGTCTATATGAAACATGTACGCTGTCGGCAACTTGACCTCTGACGATTAGTGCTAACAAATTTTCACAAAATAATGACAAAATGATTATTATTGTTTATTTTCGGTAAATATTTTCAGTCGCTTTAAATTTCTTTCCTGTTCTTCTTACTTCCTATGCTTCTTCCGGTTTTTTTTTTTTCACGTTTTTTTAAATTTAATTTAATAACTAAATACATATTTACGCATAGTATTTAGCCCTATATAAATATATAAATAAGTATATCATTTTAACTGGACTCTCAACTAGGCCTGTGTATACATTGTGTCTGTATTTAACATAATTCAATCTTATTGCTTTATTTAAATATTATCAAATATTATTAACGATTACATATTTTTATATAATGTATTTTTCAAATAAATATCTAAATAATTTCATTAGCAAATGTAAACTCTGAAAGTAAATTTATGTAGATTAGATCAATAAAATGGACATAAACCTTATTATTAATCCTTGATCATTAACAATAATAACTTTTTCAATTTTCTAACTAAATTTATATAGCCGGAGTTAATTTCGAGGTAGGCAAACCTTGCTAAAAAGGTATACATTCTCCACCAAAAGGCTTTTCCTATGAATGGAATGACCTGTTCAAAGCAGGGCCGGCTCTAAGATATAATTTATGGGGTGGGGGCTAAGATGTCCCACTTGGTGTGGACATAACAATAGGGTATAAGTATTTGTGGGAGTAACTATAGCGAGCACCGTTATCTGAGAGCCGAAAGCCTGAGCCAGGGGTTGGTATGGGGTGGGGGGTGTGCCCTCCTCCCAAAACGATATTTTTTATTGGGACTTCTAGATGGCCGGAAATGGCACTGTCAGCCTTGAAAAATACAAGTTGATAATTAATATAAAATTGTTAGTTGTTACTATATATTATATTACGCATTTCATTGTACTTAATTTCAACTGTAACACTATTTTAATGTATCCATAAAAGCATTAAGACGTTAAATTAAACTCGATTCACCATTGTTATGTTCTGCTTGACTGATCAGACAGACCCATACAAAGCGATTGCGACAGATTCAACTGGAAGGCTGTCTCTTATACACATCTAGATGTGTATAAGAGACCCGCCGGACAGAGCTCGTCGGGCAGTCAGACCATAAAACATAAAAAAAAAAACCCACACCAAGCCAACACATGTCTGTCACAGTCTGAGAGTGCCATTATTGGCCATCCATAGGTTGATTCTTTAAAAAAAATATCAGTTAGGAGGGGGAACCTCCTCTCAACCCCTTCCTCCAGCTAGAGCCTACGAGCTCAAGTCCCCCTGTCGGACAACTTAGCCTCCCCCAGAAAATATATCCTAGAGCCTCCACTGTTGCTGAGACAGATTTGGCTTGGCGTAGGCAGTAGTCTCTACGTAGTGGGATGGGAAAACTAGGCCTATTTTTTTTTTTTTTACGACTACCGACAAGCTTTGGCCGATGGGTGGGCTTGACCAGACAGATTTGAACTACGTTTTGAAACAATAGAACTTCGTTTAGGGCAAGTAGATCTACGTTTTGATAAATTAGACCTATGTTTTGATAAATTACATATTGATTTTTGCAATTACATTTTGATTTTAACATAGACTTTTGCTGCGTATGGCACCCCACGTATACCACCATCGGAAAAAAAAAACAGGCACCCGCGACACGCTTTTCACAAACTTGATCGCGTTTATGACCCAAAATTCTAGCACATGCGTAGAAACTAATTCATGATGTTATAATATACATGGCGATTCAAAGCAAATCGAATAAAAGTGAAATGAAATGCAGAATATGTCAGCTTCATCAACGAATTGTGTTCATTCAAACCTGCCTTCCGTTCCCTATATTGGATCCGCCCTGGGGCTTTCGTTAAGTTGGACAGGAATGTTTAATGACGTCAACAATTATAGACATAATGGATTTAGGAACTACCCTTTGATGTATGACAAAAAAGGCTTGACTCAAAACAGCATACCGACCACTATTTCGATAAAAGGAGAATGTAGCTAGCCTGAAACCAGTTTGATTAACTTTCGAAGAATTTGATATGAAGATGTTCTATGGAAGAATAGTGCTTTGGCTGTTGATTTTATTTGGAAAATACCTTATTTGCTTTGCACAGCCTGAAGGTAAGCTATTTTGCGTTGTTCATTGGGAGTACACAATTAAACAGCCCGGTATAGCCCAGTATATATCGTTTAGTAAATAAGGCAGCAGCAGTAAATTCTACATTGAATTGTAACTTTTATAAATTTTGTCCTTCAGGTTTCTGTTTGTCGGTTACAGGTAAATATGTAAAGTTAGGATAAGATAATCATAAATTAGCATCATTATTGTGCTAAATTGCGTATGTAATGTTTTGTTATGCATTTAACCTAAATTGTTTTTGTTTTTCTTCATTTAGTATTGGCAATTTCGTTGAGTTTCTATATATTTTACATTTATTAAGCGTTATATACTGTCGCATATACTGTGATTAATAATCAAGCAGTTTCTCTGGTCAACCGACAGTACAATGATACCTGTGTATTTTAAATATATGTTTGCGTTATACCTGAAAAGCATTATAAAAGTACCGTTCAGTTGTTTGAATGTTATGTTGGTGTTTGTTTATATTTTTATGAGTACACAATTTAACAGACGCTAATAATTTTCCAACTCAGACAAGAGGGAGACAAACACAACACTTTAGAATGTACCTTATATTGACTTATAATTTTTTCATCACCAAAATATAGTACCGGTAACGTTACAATGGTGTATTGTGACGTGAATTGTGACAATTCGTGACACATGGTAATATTAGGCCTATTACTAAAATAGAATATTATTACAAGTACTATACCTGTCTCTTATACACATCTAGATGGACTGCAGTGCACTATACCATATTGAGCACCCATGCAATGTAAGGCATTCTTAACATTAGGCTACCACCGAAGCATTGGTTCTCTTGAGTAATTAATCATAATAGGCCTGCATATATTCGTATAGGTGGATTGTTATGTTCTTAGACACGATTGAATTATTATGGTTTCACACAGAGTAGGCATGAACAGATAAACATTCACTGTTTATTCGTTTCGAATTTTTATATAATTATTTTGTATCTTGAAGCTTGTTCTTTTATTTGTAATTTAGATGCACTACATAATGTCTCACTGAACCACAACTGTTTCCGAATAAAATTCAAAATTCAAGACAAAGTTGAAATTGTTAGTTGTATTAGTTAAACTTTGCTTTGTCGTCTTACTGCGCTGTTGTCTGAATACATAAATCGACGGCCTTTTGTGAGGTTGTTTCTATTATATTAGTTAAATGATTTATGAGAAGCTCAATAAGCTGTGTAATATATACAAGATTATATTCTAAGATATAATATTGAATTGTTCTACGTCTTTTTTCTACGTCTAATTAGAAAGACCTTTGGAAATTAAGACAGGCCTTTTTAAATATAGTTGCGAGCCAATTATGTTTTTGTTTATACGAAGATATGTACAGGGTACACACTCTTCAACCACTCTTCACATCTTCTTTGTTTCAAAAGAAAGCAATGAATCACAGACGATTGCCATCTCCTATTTAAGACCAGAAGTCATCTGTTAACCTTTTTCTGATGACTGTCAGAGCAATCTCAAGAAACGTCGAGACAACCAACAGTGGTTTTACCTCGAAAACCATATTATTACAAATGGTGTACCGGAAGTTTTATAATTTTGTTATCGATATTCGCCATGCAAACCTTCAATAATATTTTGTTTTTACTGTTGACAAGTATTTAGGATAAATAATATAATAAAAACTAGAGTACATGTTAAAAGTTGTGAAAGCTGTAGACATTCCTTATTCGTCACGTATTTTTAAAACTTAATTAACTTATATTTTAGGGGTTAACATGATCAAATTATGATTCTGGTATTTCTATATAAGCCTTTGTATCAGCATTGCTTACAAAATTGTGCATTCACTAGACTATACCTACTATTACGCTGCTACCCGTCACCACTGTACCAACGTTATTTGAATAATGAATTATTGCACGTTTTGCTTTTGTAGTGTGACAACTTCTCGTTCAAAAATTTGAAGATTCGTGTTAGTAGTATAAAATTGTTATTTTATAATATTTTGATTGACATAATATAGGACCTTTGATTTTTCCTTTAACACCACTTTGAAAATGATCACCAATGATAATCAAAACGTCATGTTAGTGAAGTTTTTTTATGGCTTATGGACCATCCTAACGAATATTATTTTTTCATTTATATTTGATACGAAGGACAATGTTTTATGATACATATAAATAGTAAACGGTCAAGAGGAGGAATCTGCGAGTGAGAAAACAAAAACTGCATTGTCACGATCATGATTCGAACTAGGAACGTTCTTTACATTACATAATACCAAGTAATTGTGTGTACACGGCCAATCATGAGGAAAAAAACAGGGTAAATGTTGTTAAAGCTGTTTCAGATTATGTGATAACAAGTTTAGAAAATACGTTTGCTCAGCTTCTTTACTTACTGCTTTAGTGACTTTCTCCGTGCGAATATCTGGGCACCAACTTTTCAGTAGTTGACTACAAAGCAACTGCGTGTGAGAGATCGTTAAGTTTTATTTTAATTGATTTTGGAATGTTAATATTATTTTCACTGCTAATCTAGATTGTTTCATATACCACCAATTTTATCGGCACTTCATATAAAATTTATTATATATTTCTTTTCTTTCTATTTTATTTAAATTAATGTTTTGTTATGCATTTAACCTAAATTGTTTTTGTTTTTCTTCATTTAGTATTGGCAATTTCGTTGAGTTTCTATATATTTTACATTTATTAAGCGTTATATACTGTCGCATATACTGTGATTAATAATCAAGCAGTTTCTCTGGTCAACCGACAGTACAATGATACCTGTGTATTTTAAATATATGTTTGCGTTATACCTGAAAAGCATTATAAAAGTACCGTTCAGTTGTTTGAATGTTATGTTGGTGTTTGTTTATATTTTTATGAGTACACAATTTAACAGACGCTAATAATTTTCCAACTCAGACAAGAGGGAGACAAACACAACACTTTAGAATGTACCTTATATTGACTTATAATTTTTTCATCACCAAAATATAGTACCGGTAACGTTACAATGGTGTATTGTGACGTGAATTGTGACAATTCGTGACACATGGTAATATTAGGCCTATTACTAAAATAGAATATTATTACAAGTACTATACTATAGGCTTACAGTTGAAATTTTATTTTATTTAACAATAGAACTTGTACCCGAAGAACCAGTCGTGACCTGTCCAGCTGATGTTACTGTAGGCACAGATCCAGGTGAACCATCAGAAACTGTCGGTTGGATAGTGACAGTAACTGACAATATTGACACTGACTTGATAGCTACTTGTACTCCATCTTCTCAATCATCATTTTATGTTGGTACCACTACTGTTACTTGCACTTCAACTGACAGGAATAATAATATTGGGTCCTGCAATTTTACTGTAAATGTTGTAGGTAAATCTATATGACCAATTACAATAACTACTTGTTTAAAATATCCCAAGGAAATGCTAGGTTGTCAAACTAATGTATGTTGTGATAATAAACGATTTATTGTCATAGTAATTGTGGTATATGTTATTAATAAGATAGATGAATGAGGCAATAGACCCTCTATTAACTGGACACATTCGGGACCAAAAAAGTGTCACCTTAACAGAGGTGTCCCCTGAATAGTGATACGCCTATTTAGAGAACACCAATCGAAAACGTGAAACTGTCCTCTTGGCAGGGTTTTGGCACAAGGACATATATTACTTATAAATATATTTTAATTAATCTAAGACGAAATTATATAATTAAACTCATTTTTAACAATAATTTGCAAAGCAAATAGAATGATATGAAACGAACATGAATTTAAATAAACATATGTTGCTTTATGATGTGTTATTATTAAATGACGGAAACAGCAGCATGAATAGAATTGAATTAGAAATTAGGATGCAGGTAACGGTATGGATTTGAATCCTATATGGAAGTACAGAGATAAAAAATGAAATTCAATGGGTAAAGGTCAAATTTGTTTGTTAGATTTTATTTAAATACAATTTCAAAATATACATTATTTAGTTAGTATAAAGTACGGGTGGTCTCTACGAAATCTCAATTTTACAAAATGTAATAATCGAGGTTTTCAATTCAATTCAATTTCTTTTATTGCTGCAACTACCATCATTGGCCAATATCCGCACAACATAATATATGACAATACAAGTGACAAAAATGTGATAACACTGTATACAATTCTATGGTAACTATGCATAAGGGATAGGAAGAGCCCTCCACCAGATTATATATTATATACATTTCTACCATTTCTATATTTTTTTCATTAGACAATGAGAAACCCAATATGGTATGCCCTGATGATATTGTATTGGGTACAATCATAACTCAAAGCCTAGCGACTTGGAGTAAACCAACAGTTAATGACAATGTTGATACTGGTCTTTTAACTACTTGTACTCCACCTTCTGGTACATCATTTAATGTTGGTTCAACTAAAGTTACTTGTTTTGCTATTGATGTCGCTGGTAATGAAGCAAACTGCACGTTTAGAGTTTATGTCATTGGTAAGTATGTAATTTTATAGAGTAGCGTAGGCCTAATAGCATTTTAAGCAATAATTCTAAAAATAATCCTAGATATATAAACATGCAGTATAATAATTATAATAGAAAAAAAAAACCAAAAAAAAAACGGTTATGACGTAAATTTGGTATTCACAGACACAATAATTTGTTTTACATAATAACATCTTAACTTTTTTGACTTAAGACCTTTGCTAAGCTGAGATTGATAAATCCCGGGCCTGTCATTTGTGACGTCCATCCCCTTTTCTATAGCTATTTAATCAAACTGCTGGTTTTAAAGCGGTATTCAAATCAAACTGCATGCTGGCTGGGGTGGCTGGTTGTACAACAATGATTACTGCGCGTATTGGAATGATTAATAATAGCAGTGTGACCACTGGAAAAAATAAAAATTCCCAAATTGAGTGTAAAAAAAAATCGCAAGATTGCTTTAAAAATACCAAGATTCGCAAAATATTAGTATATACATACAACTTCTTTTAAAAGTCCATTTTTAAAGCTTCTCCCAATGAATTATTAAAATTATTATATTGTAGGCCTACTGTAATTTGTACTGTATAAACGAGAACAACTCGTTCGTTTTTATTCAACTGTGTATACTTTTCTAAAGTTAAGGAAGATAGGGGGTGGTCGTGGTGGCGGGAAATATCTTACATGAATTGAAATCACGTAAAAAATGACAGGGCAGTTGTCTTTATTTATTTTTTTTTTTGTATAGGCCTATACACAGAAAATATTTCTTTATTATAGAAGAAAAAAGGCATTGATTTTTTCGGGAGGTAGGCCTATAAGGTGGTAAGATTAAAGTATTTTTGATGAATTTTATTGAACTTCTAATTGTCAAATTAAAACATAAGGAAAAGAATTTGTAAAGTATGAGACGGTGCAAGATTTGCTGGCATCTAGGTGCAATATTCTTGCCCCCCCCCCCTAAGTACTGTAGCAAATGTGCGTTCTGTTGTTGAATTGACTTGGTAAAATCACCAGCTTTGAGCTTTTTACACACGAGACGCAAACATTTTTTGCACTATGTCGAACTGCAACTCAAAATGTTATTTTCCTATCCCCAACCGTGCAACGGTTTGCTTGATCTTTTTCAGGTTCTTGTGCATAAGAAAATGAATTCTATGCTATTGTTTTTAACCCAGCACTATGACGCGCGCCTGCGGAAAGAGAGGCCGGGCAGATACCCGCCCAATCGTCGTTAGTTAACAAGTGGTCATTGAAAAAGATAACATTCCTAAAACAAGGTATATTAAAACCTGACGACAGCCGTTTTAAATTCAATATTATGTATGAAAAATTATGAAAATCTTGAATTAACTGACCCTAATAAACATAAAGAAACTGAACATTTAATAGAATATTTGAGTCCTATTTAGACCTATTTCAAAGATTACGGGAACAAATTTAGATGTTGGCAGTAGACCCGGGTCTAGCCTAGCCTAGGTTCATTCGTGAGCCTGGATGAAATCATTTTATTTTCAGCCTACACCGACCAAAATGTGATTACTGTACATTCTCATAAATGCTTGAAAACATTTATATTTCTAACGCGGTTAAATTAATGCGGGTAGTACTAAAGTGCGAGGCAGCGAGGCATGCGAGGCAGCGAGGCAAAACGACGATTCATGCGAGGCATCGTTTTACCATTCCCAAAAGTGCGAGGCATAACAACGATTCATGCGAGGCATCGTTTTGCATCGAAATATGTGCAGAGAACAACGAAAATCCAATGTAAAAGTAATATTACGTACTATTTAATAATTATGCGTGATAGTCATTGTCAAATTTGGTACTTAATTTGATTTGCAACCACAGTGGATTTATTTTTCTCCGCCTAGGCCTAGGCTTAGGCTATAGTCAGTAACATCGCTGATCACAGGGGGGATCCAGGATCTGCTGCATTCCCATACAATTAGGGCAGAAATTAAAGAGGGCGCTATTTAAGGTCAGTTTAGTGAGCTGTTAAATATGAATATGCATAAACATGACCTAAGTTCGACGTTCGGTGTTTGTAAAAACCACCGGTAACAACGTCCGAGTTGCTATTATAAGCGTACGTTGGAAATTGAAGATTTATGTACAAGAATAGTGGATGCTAAAAAACCAAATATCATACTTTGTTGTGCAATAGTAGTAGTAGGCCTA